AATGAACAAGGGAGAACCAATCAAAAAAAAGTACACCATGGTGACACTCAGGGACTTTTAGTAAAGTACAAATATCATACTTTTTGCCTTGAGTTAAATATTAAATGCAAGTAATATCTGCAAGTCCTATTGCACATATGTTACCTTTCTACATACTGCAGATAAGTAAGTTCAACTCACTATGCTGATGTTGATCACATCTCTAAATCAGACTGTTTTGCTACAAAATTCAGGGTTGAGGATTCTGACTAGGGAGTCTAACACTCATTTTGGCTGGGCTTCCTAAAGACCAAAATTTCTCCAGGCTTTGAGTTGGTACTCAATAATCTGATGGATGTGTAAGTATCTTGGAGAATAATTCTCCACAATATCTGTGAAAATAAGTAGCCAGGTGTACAATTTTAGACGTATCATAACTGAAGGACAGATAGCAACTCGAGTGTACCTTACTTACCTCTGGTAAGGTACAAGGGAAGCCACATGTGAGAGATTTCATCAACTAAGCTAGTCCCAGAAATATTTCTGTCTTGTGGCTTTTTGCTTTTTTAAAAAAATATTTTTTACCTAATTTGAAGCCATACAATTTATGCCATCTGTACAGAAGCATAAAATTGAAAAATTATATTCTAGGAAGATGGAATCCCATTTTTTTAAGTCACTTTAGAAATGCTGTTGATAAACAAAAATAACCCTCTTCCAAAGAAAAAGATCTCCTGTATTTTTGGAATGGCTTTAGCTTCTCAGATGCAGCTCTTGAGATATGATTATAGAAAGGGAAATGTTGGTGAAGGCGGTACTTTTTTTTTTTTTTGATTCCTGAAAGTTTATTTTAATGTACAAATAACAGCTGTCAGCCTTCCAGCTTCCTGTACTTCTGTCAGTCTCCATTATTCATGTCTTATTTTTGTTTTAGAATTGACAAATGCCAGAATAACTGCACAAATATCTTTAATTAATCTTTTTATATTTTGCTGTGTTCAAAACTTTTGAAGCCTAGAAAGAGTAATTTTCAAATACTGTAATTGCAGAAAATATTTTGAGTAAGTTTTCCCAATTTATCGCTTCATACATGTCATTATTGTTCTCAGTAAAACTAGAAATTATTGGAGTGATTTAAAAAAGAATGTTCTAATACTTGACATACTTGATGTCTGTTCTGATTGCTAAGTAAAAAGGGGAGAGGACTGTTAGGGGAGATAAATCTTTGAAGAGAAAAGCAGAGCTTTTATCTAAAGCAAGCACGTTGTGCTCCTGCAAAGAGAGGAACAGTGGAAGCCTTGTACACGTAGCCTTACTGGCAACTCTCATGCTAACTGTAGGTAAAGAGGCAGGGGGAGTCTTTGTGTAAGAGAAAATAAAGAACAATTTGTGTGGGCAGTGAATGGGAAGCTTGCTGGTGGGTTTGGCAGTGTCTGGCTGGCAGGTACACACAACCCACCAGCAGAAAGGTAAACTGTCAGGAAGGAGGGACCTTCCAGCAGGTAAGGTGTGTGCTCAAGTGCACCAGCCTGAGACACTGAGGAGTAAACACCATCACTTCAAAGCACTCATCAGCACTTTTTTCCAGCAGTTGCATGTGTAGGAGCATTTAAAGAGGGGAGGAGGGAGCTATCTTGTGTTAATAATTATGTTGGATTTCATATTTTTAGCTTATATACACCAAAAAACTATTCAAGTAGCCTGTAAGTGTGCTTGCACACTTTTGCACACACAGCGTAGAGTGTTGTGATATCAGAAGACAAAAAGTTTGATTAATGTAGTGTGATAGGATTTGTTGCTGAGAAGTAGTCTTTCTCCAAATACTTCATTTATCCTCCTTTACTGAAAGTAATGTATCATCTTCTCCCTCCCACGCTAGTTAGTTGCATCATAGATTTGCAAGGAGTTGCTGTTCTTTGGAGATATGGGGAGAGAAGATAAAATGTGGAAATCAATTGTAGTACAGACAACTGGTTTTCTGAGATAACTGTAAAATTTCTACTTTCTCTCTTTTTGTTTTTCCTTTCAAGAACTCTGGTGGACCAATAACCTAGAGTGCATCTGTTCAGACATCAAAGCTGCATTTGCACTGTCTTGCAGAACTTCTTTCTGGAAATAACTTTTTATAGTCTTTGGTCACCTGTCAGAACAGATGCATAAATACGTTGTAAATTCAAGATCTTAACCAGGCTTATGAAAAATAGACAATATAATTTCATTCAGTTCCTCTGCAGTTTCCTAGGAGAGTATTCTTGAAGGTGTCAAGAAACTGGAAATCTATCACTTACCTTGGGAGCCTGATCCTTCAGTTAGTTTATCACTTCTTTCCATTCCCAGTTTTTCACTGTTCTCTTTTCCAACCTGAAATTTTAAGCTTTACCTTTGAATGTGTTGGACTTGGGCTGTTTTTTCTAACTAACTGGAAGAATCCTTGAGCACTCAGCGTTTTCTTTACCTAAACTTACTTGTAAAATTAAACGAAGTTGCCTTTCAGCCATATATTTATTTATTAAACTAAGTGAACGTGCACTTACAGTCCTGCT